CCTGGTTGAAATAGGGGAATTTTATTAAGGGGACATTCAGAGGTGGCCGTTCCTGCTGGGTTGTTTGCCTGTGGCTGAAAAGAAATCATCCCCGCTTTTAGCCACGCAGTGGGGCAGGGGCCCGTTCACGCTGAGCTGTTCGCGTTTGTCTGGCAGGGATCTTCCCTGATACCAGTCACGCGGTGGGAGGAGGGGTGAAGCGATCATCCCAGAGAATTGGGTGGTGGGGGCGGTTTAGCTGGGTTTGTGCTGCACATTAACCCGAAAACCGCAGCCCCTCCTTTTAAATGGCCAAACCAATGAGTGCTTGGTATGGGAAAGGAGGGCGCTGATGTTTGAAACCATTCACTGTGAAAGAGTCTACCCATTGTTCTCTAAAATGTCTCTTTTTAAATACAACTCTCCCTTTTTTCCTCCCGCAGCTGCAGATGTTTCAATGCTCCCCCTATCATGTCCGTCCCAGAGGCGAACGCAGATAAGAAGGCGAAAAAAAACGCACTTGTGATGAAATGTTCTCTGAGCTCATGCAGTCCTCCCGCACTGAAAGAGCTCAGCAGAATGCGTGGAGGCAGACAATGTCAGAGTCCAGGAAAGCAGAAAATGAATGTGAGGAGAGATGGCAGGAGCAAGATGGTAGGTGGCGGCAGCATGATGAAAGGAGGCAATGCTGAGGCTATTAGAGGATCAAACTGATACGTTCCAGTGTATGGTTGAGCTGCAGGAAAGGCAGCATGAGCACAGACCGCCACTGCAGCCACTGTGTGACCACCTGCCCTCCTCCCTAAGTTCCATAGCCTCCTTACCCAGACGCCTAAGAACGCAGGGGGGAGGAACGCCCTCCGGGCACCCAACCACTCCACCCCAAAGGACTGCCCAAGCAACAGAAGGCTGGCATTCCATAAGTTTTAAAGTGCAGTGTGGCCTTGTCCTTCCCTCTTCCCCTCCTCTCCACCCCACCCAGTGCTTCCCTCCTCCCTCACCAGTCGTGGGCTACGTTGGCAGTTATCCCCCTATTTGTGTGACAAATTAATAATGAATACATGAATTTGAAACAACAATGACTTTATTGCCTCTGCAAGCAGTGATCGAAGGGGGGAGGGCGGTTGGCTTTCAGGGAAGTAGAGTGAACCAAGGGGCGGGGGGTTTCATCAAGAAGAAACAAACAGAACTTTCACACCTGGCCAGTCATGAAACTGGTTTTCAAAGCTTCTCTGATTCGCACCGCGCCCTCCTGTGCTCTTCTAACCGCCCTGGTGTCTGGCTGCACGTAATCAGTGGCCAGGTGATTTGCCTCAACCTCCCACCCAGCCATAAACGTCTCCCCCTTACTCTCACAGATATTGTGGAGCACACAACAAGCAGCAATAACAATGGGAATATTGGTTTCGCGGAGGTCTAACCGAGTCAGTAAACTGCACCAGCGAGGTTTTAAACTTCCAAATGCACATTCTACCACCATTCTGCACTTGCTCAACCTGTAGTTGAACAGCTCCTGACTACTGTCTAGGCTGCCTGTGTACGGCTTCATGAGCCATGGCATTAAGGGGTAGGCTGGGTCCCCAAGGATAACTATAGTCATTTCATCATCCCCAACAGTTATTTTCTGATCTGGAAAGTAAGTCCCTTCCTGTAGCTGTTCAAACAGATCAGAGTTCCTGAAGATGTGAGCGTCATGTACCTTTCCCGGCCATCCCACTTTGATGTTGGTGAAACGTCCCTTGTGATCCACCAGTGCTTGCAGCACTGTTGAAACGCACCCCTTTTGGTTTATGTACTGGCTGCCAAGGTGGTCCGGTCCCAAGATAGGGATCTGCGTTCCGTCTATCGCCCCACCACAGTTAGGGAACCCCATTGCAGCAAAGCCATTCACTATGACCTGCACATTTCCAGAGTCACTATCCTTGATAGCAGCAGCTCAGTGATTGCGTTGGCTACTTGGATTACAGCAGCCCCCACAGTAGATTTGCCCACTCCAAATTGATTCCCGACTGACCGGTAGCTGTCTGGCGTTGCAAGCTTCCAGAGGGCTATCACCACTCGCTTGTGAACTGTGAGGGCTGCTCTCATCTTAGTATTCTGGAGCTTCAGGGCAGGGGAAAGCAAGTCACAAAGTTCCATAAAAGTGGCCTTACGCATGCGAAAGTTTCTCAGCCACTGGGAATCATCCCAGACCTGCAACAATATGCAGTCCCACCAGTCTGTGCTTGTTTCCCGGGCCCAGAATCAGCGTTCCACGGCATGAGCCTGCCCCATTGCCTCCAGGATGGCCAAATTGCTGGGGCCCATGCCTTGAGAGAAGTCTGTGTCCATGTCCTCATTACTCTCCTCACCGTGCTGCTGTCACCTCCTCGCCTGGTTTTGCAGGTTCTGGTTCTGAACGTACTGCAGGATAATGCGCAAGGTGTTTACAATGCTCGTAACTTCTGTGGTGATCTGAGCGGGCTCCATGCTTGCTGTGGTATGGCATCTGCAGGAGAGCAGAGTGGCAGCGGAAGCCTATCGCACCATCTGCTGCCAGCAGCACCAGGACACAACAGCGGCGGCATCAGCGAGCTGAGCTGAGCGGGCTGCATGCTTGCCGTGGTATGGCGTCTGTAGGAGAGCAGGAGAGCAGAGATGCAGCGGAAGCGGTGGCTGATGACCTGGAAGGTGGATTCAGGAGAGCAGAGTTGCAGCGGAAGCGGGAGCCCATGACAGCCAACGTGGAGAAATTCGCTATCGAGGAGAGCAGAGTTGCAGCAGAAATGGTGGTTCGATGATGACGGTTAGCAGGCCTACTGCACTGTTTGCTGAAAGCAGTATGGTGTCCGCACGCGAAACGATTGTCTGCTGTTGCTTTCATGGAGGGAGGGGCGACTGACGACATGTACCCAAAACCACCCGCGACAACGTTTTTTGCCCCATCAGCTTAACCCAGTTTAACCCAGAATTCCTATGGGCAGTGGAGACTGCGGAAACTGTGGGATAGCTACCCACAGTGCAGTGCTCCAAAATTGACGCTAGCCACAGTACTGTGGACGCACTCCGCCGATTTAATGCGCTTAGTGGGGACATACACAATCGACTGTATAAAATCACTTCTATAAAAATCTACTTCTATAAATTCGAACTAATTTCGTAGTGTAACATACCCTTGATAGGTCAAATCTGCCAGGCTTCTGCAAATAAAATTGTCTCTTTTGTAACAGCACAGAACACAAGTACTGCTATTTTACTGAAATCAACTCAATTTTGGCCCCAGATGGTTTTAAGGAGAAGTAACAACCATTACCACTACCATTCCGTACATCTGTTTGCTTTATAGCCCGGTCCTGACCGTGTTCTAACAGCAGCATCTATGTAAAATCTGAGGCCAGTTTTAGATTTGGTAACTTAATTTAGGAACTTTCCATTTTTGACTGAAATAAACTATGTGCCACAATGCATTGTTCAGTTCATCTCCCACATCACAAAACTACTAATGAACTTTCGTACCAATATCAGTTTCTACGAAAATCCACCGTAAACTTCAGAGCAGTGGACAATAGTCATGGCTCTGTTTCCTAGTGCTTCAAAAGTTTTTAATCCGTAAGTTTTTGTTTGTTATCCCTCAGAACAGATCACAGGGTTCTTGAAAACCCAACAGGTTACTCACTACTGTTTCAAGGTTAGATCATGCTCTTTCTTACTCTGCCTAGCAGAGGACTAAAAGGGGAAGTAAGACTCCATCCCTTACTCAGCCAACCTGAACCTTGGGTCCAGTGTAGAGCGCAGTCAATATTTCTTGGATATTCCTCCCATGGGAAGTGGGCAGAGAGGGGCTTGGAGTGGGCGATACTATGGCTCTGTCCTCTGCCTCCACTCACTGACCAAAGTAGCTGGCCAGGTACGAGAGGGGTGTAAGCTGCACTCTCTCAAGAGCTTCAGTAATTTACTTCCCAAACTTACTCCTCCAGAATGGGGGAGGGGGAGGGTCATGGAGAAACATCAGGGAAGGAATTGTGACTCTGGTATGTCTAGTTTAATTCATTGAACTAAAAGGAACTAAGGCCACTACTTCTGAATGTGAGTATCCAAACTAGGGTTTAATGTGCTTTAACTAATGCAATTAATATGTGCACCTAGCATTACTCAGATTAACCTTTTCAACTTGCCCTAATCACAATTCCCTTTCCAGGCCTGCTCCTGGGGTGGAGTTGTCACATCCTGACCCTTATTCCGGGCTGAGTCAAGGTTCAATCTGGACTTTAGTAATTTTTTTCAAAGAGTTCACAGGCTAGCGAGTATGAGGCGGAATTTGTTTGAAAAGAAAAAAACAAAAACCAGCAGAGGTTAAATTAGTCACTATGAAAGACAATATGAAAAACGGTCAATTCCCTCTTTTCTACCCCGTCCGAAAATATGAAAGTAAAGGTACATGCTAAACTAAAGGACAATTAATAAGTAGGTCAAATGCCACTTTTGGAGCATATGCACTACAGAAGAAACTCTGAGTCAAATATTATGGCAAGATTTTAAAGACAATTGGATAACCGGAGAACCAAAATATCTGTAGCTATGCAGACTAAGATAATAAGGATATTCGTATTTAATAATTCCTGGCATAAATTCATCATGTGCTGGGGTCAGGAAGGAATCTCCTTTTCCCATTGTAAATCTGCTAGATACATTACAGGGGAAAGTTTTTTATATTTAAACCCTCCCCTCCCCCCCTCTTCCTCTGATGCACCATGTACTGGCCAGTGTCGGATTAGATGAATCAGTGGGCTATTCTATTTATGGCTATTCGTAGGTAGATATGATACGGGTCAGATTCTCCCACCCTTACTCACAATGAGTGGCATTGTGCTCCACTAGTAGACCGTAGGATGAGTAAGTGTGGAAGCGTTAGGATGACAGAATTTGTCTGTAAATGAGGGAAAAACCCACAACTAACAAGGGCCAGAGAAAAGTTTCTTTTGCGGCTTAAAGAGGCAGAACCTTTGCTTACTAGGGGACCACTCAGAACGTGAAATATGTACCTTCGCTGTTAACAATTATTGAAGCAGTTCCAGTAGCAGCATCCTCAGTCTGACCTACAAATTCTAAGAAAGGGAAAAGTTACCATATGTATTATTTCAACAACAGTATGTGATGCAGTTTAACCTCCCATAACCTCCAACACTTAAAAATGCTAATAACTATTTCACGTGTAACAATGCCAAAGAAGCTTAACAACAACAAAAGAAGTGTTAACTTACACCCACAAAAAAGCAAATGTGAGTCCAACGTTCTTTAATGTAGCTATGTCTCTGCTTCAATGACAGCATTCTTTTATCCAGTGAAACAACAGATTCTAGGCTGGAGAAAATTAAAGCACTGAAATAATACAGCATATTTCCCCCTCTTAATTCTCTGTTGATTTACATTTCAGAAGGAACGGCAGCCTACATTAAAGAAGATGGAAGATGTCGGGAGGTTGTACATTTCCTCTTTGGATTAATCCATTCCGTTAAATTATTATAGGCTGAGCTGGTATTATGTGGCCTGTTATTATGGTTGCCCAACACTTTCTGCTACAAAACCCAGTTTTCAGTTACATATAAAACTTTGCCAAACATTAACCGTTTGGAATGAAATTTTCCATGCCAGGTGATTGCCTCTGGCTGATTATTATTATTTTTGAAAATTTCAGTCAAAATGATGGTTGTTAGCAACTCAGAGCTACATTTGAGGGATGGTCCCGCTCAGCTCCTTACAGCCCTGGACTAGAGTAGACAATGCTCAATGCAGATGGAACTTTTGGGGACAATCGCTGCAAGGGTTTAGTAAGTTTCTACTGTGAATGTGTGTACTGCAATTTCTCAAAGGCTTAGTCCTTGGCCAAGTTTGGTTGGATATTCACAAGGGATGGCAAAAGGCCAAACCAAACCAAATGAAACCACCACAATTTTTTAACATAGGCAAAGCAATGTACTTTGCCCTAGCCTCATTCTCAGAAACAACTGGACCATTCTGGGCTGAAATTTTCCAGAAAAATTTATCCTGAGGCTGATACCTGGCATGGAAAATTTTAACTTGAACAGTTAAAGTATGACAAAGTTATTAGTAACTGAAAATTGGGTCTTATAATGGGAAGTGTCAAGCAACTTAACCAAAGGCAGTACTAGCAGCCCTGCCTGTAACTGAGATAGAGAGGGAAACTAGGATTTAGAGACTTCCTCAAAAAAAGTGCATTTAAAAATGTGGCTGCACTCTGAGATATGTAAAAATAGCACTGCAGGGTTGGACTGTTATTACTTCGTTATAATATATGGATCGAATGTACTCCGTTTACAAGCAAAAAGATATTTTCCTTAACTGCCAGCCCTGCAAAGTTAGCCTGGGATGTGAGAATCAAGCTGGATTGTTCACTTCTCACACATCATCATCAGTAACTGAAGTGCTAAAGGCTGGTGAAGACAACTGCGCAACCTCCCTGTCCAATTATGCCTTCAGTGACACTTGCGCATCCCCACTGCTTTCAATTGGGACTTACTCAGTAGTTCTGTTGGGGCCTGACCCAACATCCACCGAAATCAATGGAAAGACTCCCATAGATTGTAAGATGCTTTGCATCAGGCCATTGGTGATACACAAGAAGAAAGCAGCAAAGCAATGCAAGTTTCTCACTCTCTCTTAGCCATGTTGGCTTTGCAAGGCTAACAGGAGTAAAAGACAACAACAATTTACTTTCATCACTGACGTGAATAGATATGACTCGGGACACACACGTATGCCAAGTAAGAAGGTTCCATTTGTATAAATTCACATTACAGAGTAGAACCAGACCACACTTTAAGGCGGGACTAGTGTCTTTGTAGTGACTTTTACGAGACTAGAATTTTCTCTGTCTTTGAAGTCTTTCATGCCCTGACAATGATTTAGATCCTGCTATTTCCTGCTGTAAATCAACATTGAACATTTAGGCTAAAAATTAAGGGCAAAATTTTCAAAAGTGGACACTAATTTTGGATGCTTCAATACTTGGGTGCTCAAGCTGAACCTCATTTTTCAGTCATGCTAAGCATTTGCAACTCTGATAGACTTCAAATGGAGTTGCATGTTCCCAGAACCTCTGAATGTAAGTCTCTGGGTGCCTCAAATTGGGCATCCAAAATTAGTGGTCACCCTTGAAAATGTTGGCCTAAAGATTTAACACAGGCCATTTCAAACCAGACTGGACAAAATAATGGCGAACACACTGCAGAGAACCATTCTGCACCAGAATGGGTGTGCGAATTAGACAACCTAACCAATCTAACCTTCCACCTCCTCCATCTCTAGTTTCAAATGTTATCTAAAAAATTAACAAATTATTTTTTTAAAACTGAAATTTTACCTGTAGAAATCCCATTTCTCTTGAAATTTTCAATATAATCATTGCCAAACGAGTCCTTCCCAACCTGCAAAGACATTATGTACATTAAATCTTTTACAGTCCACAAACTGATGTAATTCAACCATCATACACTAGACTTTATTTTACAGCTCTTTTATCTCAGTTACTTGATCAAATAGCATTTTACAGCTCTCTCCCACCTCTAAAACAAAAAGCACATCACAGATACAAACAAAATTGTGCACCTTTCACACTCACCTTGCGTCACTGGTGTGACGTTGCACTCTACATGATTTTATGAAAATATGCTAATGAGTATGAATATAATGTAACTGGAATATGCTTCATGCAAAAGGTCTCTTGTAAGATATCATTACAAATCTTATAATCTACTGAGTGTGGTCATCCTATTTGCATAAATGTATCACTCTTGTATCTGAAACTAGAAATATGAAATATAACTCTGAGGTCCTACTGTAGTTATGCAAAGTGTGGGCTATTAATGGTGGTTTGGAATCCTGATGGCTCCCATCAACTAGGACAATTGACTGTGGATGGCTCTGTTTGCTTGCAGGCCTTCCTGTGAGTCAGGCTGGAAGGAATGAGGGCTTGAAGTCTTACAGTGACATGTGATCATGTCACCTGAACTGGAATCCATCTTTAACCTGGTGCTTTTCCATTTAGAAGGAGGGGTGAGAACCCAAAAAGGGACAAAGGATTCCTGTCTTATGCAAAAGATATATAAGGGGTTGGAACAGAACAAAGGGGGCGGCAGTCATGAGAAATCCCCTAGCTACCACCTGAGCTGAAACAAGGGCTGTACCAGGGGAAAGGATTGTGCCTAGACTAGGAAGGCATCCAGTCTGTGATAGAAGCTTACTGGAACATCTCTGAGGGTGAGATTTCATCTGTAATCATTTTCTTACTGTATTAGGTTTAGACTTGGGTGTTTTATTTTATTTTGCTTGGTAATTCACTTTGTTCTGTCTGTCATTACTTGGAACCACTTAAATCCTACTTTTTGTATTTAATAAAATCACTTTTTATTTATTAGTTAACCCAGAGTATGTATTAATACCTGGGGGGGGGGGGGGGGCAAACAGCTGAGCATCTCTCTCTCTCAGCGTTATAGAGGACGAACAATTTATGAGTTTATCCTGTATAAGCTTTATACAGAGTAAAACCAGTTTATTTGGGGTTTGGACCCCATTGGGAGCTAGGCATCTGAGAGTTAGAGACAGGAATACTTCTTAAGCTGTTATCAGGTAAGCCTGCAGCTGTTGGGGGATATGATTCAGACCTGGGTCTGGTTTGTAGCAGGCAAACGTGTCTGGCTCAAACCAGGCAGGGCACTGAAGTCCTAAGCTGGCAGGGAAAACAGACTCAGAGGTAGTCAAAGCACATCAGGTGGCAGTCCCAAGGGGGTTTCTGTGATCCATCCTGTCACAACTGGCATTATAATTCATTCATCCTTCTAACAGTAAATTGAGTATTCAGTGGCAAAAATCTACATTAAGAAAGAGTTATGGTTGCTTGGTGAAAAAAGAAAAGGAGTACTTGTGACACTTTAGAGACTAACAAAGGTGCCACAAGTACTCCTTTTCTTTTTACAGATACAGACTAACACGGCTGCTACTCTGAAACTGGTTGCTTGGTGGCACATTATACCCTTGCAGAATGCTGAGTTGAGCAAAACTCAAAATTCTGAAAACCAGGAAATGCACAGTTAAGGTTGCCCATGCCCCAATATGCCCGATTAACATACAAACATTTATTCTGCTATGTCCACCCTTGCTGAAATGTACAAACACTTCACCCCTTTTTACAACCCTTTCACTCTTACCCACACGATTCCCTCTAACATGCCACTGTAATAACAAAGACAGTCCTTGCCCCAAAGAACTCACAGCATAAGTTATTTGGTGGATGTGTGCAGGGTTTATGTATGTGTTGGGGTGCATTGGCACAGCTTTGGGCTGCAAGGTCGGGGTCCACTGGCAGAGCTAGGGTTTCAGGGGGATTAGGGTGCATTGGCAGTGCTGGGAAGGTTAGGATTGGATTGTATTGGACTGTTAGGACAATAGGAAGGTTAGGGTTGTATTGACAAAAGTTGGGGGTGCAAAGGGGTTGGGATGTACCAGCCGAGAAATGGGGTGTAGGAAGGCAGCTATAAAAATAATATATAAAAAATGGAAGACAGGGGAAGTTGATAGTATAAATAAATATAAATCAGAAGCTTTAAATCAGAAGGAATTGTAGAAAACTGGTAAGGGAAGCAAAGGGATACAAGGAGAAATTTACGGTCAGCAGTGGTAAGGCCAACAAGGAGTCTTTTAAGTATATTAGGAACAAAAGTAATCCTAACAATGGTATCAATCCATTACTAGATGTAAATGGAACAATTATCATGAATAATGCAGAAAAGGTGGAAGTGTTCAGCAAATATATCTGTTCTGTATTTAGGAAAAATAAAAATGGTGTAGTAATACATGAGAATACACTTTCCATTCCACTAGTATCTCATGAGGATGTCAAACAGCAGATACTAAAGTTTAACATCTTAAAATCAGCAGATCCAGATAGTTTTAAAAGAGCTGGGTGAGGATCATAATGTTGGATTTGTATAAGTCTTGGAACACCAGGGAAGTTCCAGAAGACTGGAAGAAAACTAATGTTGTGCCAATATTTAAAAAGGGTGAACGGGATGACTAGGGTAACTATAGGCCTGTCAGTCTGACATTAATTTAGTTGGGGTTGGTCTTGCTTTGAGCAGGGGGTTGGACTAGATGATACCCTAATCTTCTATGTTTCTATGATCTCAAGGCAAGATAATGAAGAAGACGATATAGGACTTAACGTAAAGAATTAAAGGAGGCTAATATAATTAATGCCAATCAACATGGGTTTATGAAAAATAGATCCTGTCTGTCACAGAGTATCCCTTCACCTAGCCGGTGAATACCGCAGCCTAAACTGTTCCTGTGGTGTCTTAGCCACAAACACACACAGACTGATTCTCTTTCACCATGTTGCATTTAATCTTCAGTGTCAAAGCATAACAGAATGTACCACAAGTTTACAGCAGTAGGAGTTTTCCACACAGTTCTCTTTTCTCTCCAAGGTGCACCCACTGAGCTCCCCGTAATTCCTGTTCCTTCCAAACATATCCCCCCCGTTACTGAACCAATTGCCTCATTAGCCCAGAAACTGCCACCCAAGCATCAGTAATCCCAAACAGAAACTAGTTAATTGACTTCAATTCAACCTCAGTGACAAAGGTGCCAACGTTAGTGCCCTGTCATGCTGTCAAACTAACTCAATATCTTTTTTTTTTTTAAATGAGATTGCAGGTTTGGTTGAGAAAAGTAATAGTGTTGATCTAAGAGACTTAGACTTCTGTAAAACATTTGACTTGGTACCACATGGCATTTTGATTAAAAAACTAGAAAGACAAAATTAACATGGCACACATTAAATGGATTGAAAGCTTGTTAACTGATAGTCTCAAAATGTAATTGTAAATTGGGAATTGTCATCAAGTGGGTGTGTTTCTAGTGGGATCCCGCAAGGATTGGTTCTTCGCCCTACACTATTTAACATTTTTATCAATGACCTGGAAGAAATCATAAAATTACCACTGATAAAGCTTGCAGATAATATAAAAATCAGGGAGTGAAGGGTAAATAATGAAGATGACAGGTGGCGGATACAGAGTGATCTGCATTGTTTGGTAAACTGGGTTCAACTTCAAGCAAATAATATGCATTTCAATGTGTCTACATGGAAAAGTATACATCCAGGGAAAAAGAATGCAGGCCATACTTACATTATGTGGTCTCTATCCTGGGAACCAGTGGCTCTGAAAAAGATTTGGGAGTTCTGGTGCATAATCAGCTAAACATGAGCTCCCAGTGTGATGCTATGGCCAAAAGGGCTAATTCAAGCCTTGGATGCATAAACAGTGGACTCTCAAGTAGGCGAAGAAATGTTATTTTACCTCTATATTTGGCACTGTTGCAACCACTGCTGGAATACTGTGTCCAGTGTAGGGGGTCCACAGTTCAAGAAGGGTATTGATAAATTGGAGATGATGCAGAAAAGAGTCACAAGATTTATTAAAGGATTAAAAAACATAATTTTTCGTGATAGACTCAAAGAGTTCAATCTATATAGTTGAACAAAGAGAACATTAAGGAGTGACGAGATTACAGTCTGTAAGTACCAACATGGGGAACAAATATAATAGTCTCCTCAATCTAGCAGAGAAAGGTATACCATGATCCAATGGCTAGAAGTTGTACATTTTTAATGGTGAGAGTAATTAACCACTGGAACAACTAATCCAAGGGGTATGGTTGATTCCCCATCACTGGGGGGGTTTAAACCAAGATTGGACATTTTTCTGAAAGACATGCTCTATTATTTTGGGGAAGTTCTGTCGCATGTGTTATACAGGAGGTCAGGCTATATGATCATGATGGTCCCTTCTGGCCTTGGAATCTATCAGTCTATGAAGGAATGTTGGGGTACAGGGTGGTTGGGGTACAAGGTGGTTGGGTGTACTGGCAAAGCTGACGGGTGTAGAGTGGTTGAGGTACACTGGCAGAGCTGGTGGATGCCCCTCACCTGAGCGCCAAAACACTCTCCCCTACCCTCCCACCCATGACCATTATCCCCAGTCCTGTCATTGCAGTCACAAACCTCTCTCCCCGCTATTCCCTCATTCTTCTGCTTCCAAAACTCTCCCCTTTCCAGGAAACATTCACATGTCTAATCAAAGTATTTGGGGAAGAAAAAGTACTTTCCTCACAAACAACACTGCCACCCATGATTCTCAAATTGCAGTAACCCCCGGCCACTCACTGCTTTGGTCTTAGGAAGAGGTGTCACGGATCCACAGGATCTGTGTTAGACCCCTGCTGTTAAACAGTCCTTTGGACCCCTTCAGTGTGCCAGACCCCCAAGGGGTCCTAGTCTTCTTTAGGGGCAGATCATGTGACCTCAAGATCTCCACAACTGAGGCCAGGTCTACACGAAAAAGTTAAGTCAACCCAGCTACGTCCC